AGCACGAAAATACAGTAACATAGTGTGATGTGTTGCGCTATGGAGAACACCCTCCCCCTCCCCGCCAGCCGTGACATATACCCCAACACGTGACAATTTGGTGTCAGAAGTGGTTTACGAACTTAAACATGTGTCACGTGTTGGGTATATGTCACGGCTGGTGGGGAGGGGGGGGATGTTCTCCATAGTGCAACATGTCACAATATTTAAAACTGTCCTAAAGCTTAAAATAAAAACTGTATTCATATTATGCAATGTCTTTTGGCTTACGCGTATTTGCTTTCATGGAAGTGTCCAGTCCACATTCCCAGTTACATGATGTTAATTTTACAACTTTGGTACAACATGTAATGGTGAAATAAGATCTTTAAAAGAGCTGGGGGAAAGAGTGCTTGCTCTAAGCTTCCCTCAACATTGCATAAACTGATTCGTGAGACAATGATGCAAAAATGGATCCAATAAAAGTAAACTCTAATGATGGGAATATCTTGTATCATGCATGAAATGATTTTACTTGGACACATGGGGATGTGGTGAGATTCTGTTACGCTTGCCTCATGATAATGGTAATATTCAAACACCACAACCACAGTATTCAGCTAGGTGCAATGTTTTCCTATTTTGCAGAATGAGAAGTGGCTTAAAGCAAATTTGAAGAAAGTAGTTCAAACTTCTATGACAGCTGAACTTTTTGAAAACAAATGACTTCACAGAGTCCTTTCAAAAGTGGTATTAACACCAGAAGGTGCATGTTCGCTCAAAAGAGGAACACTCTGAAGGACACTAATATAATTATCTGATATGCAATACTATTTGCATGCAGCAACCTTATTCTGGGAAATTTACGATCAAATAGAGCACAAAGATGAATTACGTGAATTTACAAGAATTAAAATATTACTTAAATTAACCCCTGATACCTCATAGCCAAACCCTCTACCTAAAATTCTAATTAACAAAAAGAAATACCTAAATATACATGAAAAGTTGCAACAAATTTTGGAAAAATAACTACCTCAACATTCTACATTACACACATTTTATTCATTATATCTCACAACTGAATATCTCNTTTTAATTAATGGGATACGTATATCATTTAAGCACACAAACTGCATGACAGTAGTGAAATTTTTAGTCTGCTTATATCTATTTTTTAAATGTGCAGCCTCTAAATCAAAGTGTTCAGCAGTTTAAAGATTGAGAGACTTTCGTACATTGGTTCTTTATTTATACCAAATCAAGTAGTAAACATCCTGCTATGTTCAAAATATCATAAATTGTTTTGACAAACCTCACGACAAGAAAATTGTAGAAGACGTGATTGTCTCATCATCAGAGACTTGCACGAGTAAGAATCTCTCACCATATGCCTTGCTGCATAAGCATGGGGCGAAACAACTACATTAAACAATTTTATACACTAAAATTACATGGCACTATATTTTTTAGTCACTGCTGTGGGCATCTCAAATCCAGAATTATATACTATGTGCTTCATTCAAAATCAGTGTATTTGGTTATGGGTTACATTTAATATTCCAAGAAATATAAGACGTTATCAATGGGTATTACATAACTTACATTTCAAGACACGTCTTTATCTAACAAAATCTAAATATGACCTTTGACTATGGCTCATAGGTTATAATGCAAGTTATGTGATCTGTTCCTGGACATATTCACCAATGATAGTAATATTACTGGATATTTAAGTTACTGCAAGCCTATAATAAAAATACATTTGAACATTACTAAATAGGTACCTGTTAGATAATGTGATATTGATATCCAAAAATAGTTTAGACGTAACAATCATAATTCAACGGAATTGTAAAAACCTGTATCAGAATTCAACTGTAAATATGATCAATTATACACTATGATGAATCATCACATGTCTATACAGTTATAATTCCTACTAACGTACGGAACGTAACTCCATTAGGAAATAACCTAACTTAGCTAACTTATGGCTTTTCGATAGATCAAAGTACGGACCATGCGTACCGTACGTACAGTATATATCGATTTGTTACGGAGGATTCGATATATCGTACAAATGTAGATCGCAAGCAACTGTATAGTCGATCTGTTGCCTATAAAGTTCTCCCTGCGTTTAACTAATTATGCACTACGCCATGAAGGCGTATGGGGGAGTGGATGTATAGATCCGCATTTTCTTGACCTCGGCACTAGTTCGAGGCGGGTGGTCAACTTCACACTCCGGCCTCTTTGCCATCGAGGAAGGAATCCTCAGTTCCCATTAGATAGGAGGCTGGGTGGGCCCCAGAGACGGTCTGGACGACGTGGAGAAGGGAAAATTCTTGACCTTACCGGGACTCGAACTCCGACCCCTCGGTAGTCCAACCCGTATCCAGTCGGTATATGTACTACGCTATCTAGGCTCGTGATTTGTTGCCAGTTACAACACTATTTAATGTATATATAAAGATCAAATTTTAAGTCAAGGTCCTGTGTTCACTAACTAGCTGTAAACCACTGAGAACCTCTCTGCTCTCACTTCGTATCGTCCGAGTTGGTTTTCGTCAATTGTGACATCTATGGTCACTAAGAATGCTGGCGGGTAATTTGAATTGACATGTGCATATGTTTCTAAAATTATGCACTATGTTGTTTGTAAGCTGTAAACATTATATAATTGTAAATGACGAAATCCATGGAACAGGGGTGTTAGGAAGGAAGTACTGTGCAGAATTCTCATTCAGTTTGGGGTACCCTTGGAACTAGTTAGGCTTGTTAAAACGTGTTTAAATGAAACGTATAGTAAGGTCCGTATAGGTGAACATTTGCCTGAAATCTATGAATAGCTGATATACTCGTACTGTCTCACTGTACTCAATTTTATTCATTTTCTCCACTACCTGACGATTGAAAAAAATCTGATCAGTAGTTGATATGTTACATCGAAACCTACACTGATGATCCTCAGTAATTTGGACTACTTATGAAGATAAGGTTATTGGATACATTTTTGCATGAAGTTGACAGCAGTGATATCCAACGATAATTACTACAGTCAGTTTTAGCACACTTCTTGTAAATCGGTACATAATATGACTGATATTTAAATAAATCTTACATTAACTTAAATAATTAAAGAACTAACTCCATGGAGCCAAGACCTTGAAAAGCCATCAGTCGCTCAGCTACTCCAGAATTTCCGAATATTTTATGGAACCCAAAAGCTCAGTCCTACATTCAAAAGACTCCGTCACTGGTCCCTATCCTGAAACAATTGAATTCAGTACCTATCAAGCAATCGTATTTACAGGTATCTATGATCCATTTCAGTATTATTCCCCCATTCATGCCCGTGTCTTGGTAGTGATCTCTTTCCTTCTAGCGTGGTCATCAAACCCTACACGTATTTCTCTTTTCCCCATGCATGCTACGTGCCCTGCTCCTTTCATCCTGCTTCATTTGATCATTTTAATTATATGTGGTGAAGAGTACAAGTTATGACGTCCCTCACTCTATATCAACTTACGTAACATAAATTAAACGGCGAGTCAATCGGCGTTATTTTCCGCTTTAAACGGAAATCATAAATGTTAAATATTTATTCAGTAACACAAAGTACTTTTGTATTCGTTCGATGTTCAGCAAAATGTAAACATTACAGATTCAACATCTAATCTGTTTATCTAATCCAGGATCTATAAATTTAATAAACATGGCTTATATGTTTTGCACTAATCGTGCAGGGGGAGAAGACAGCTAATCTAGATGAAACATATATAATCCATTTGCAGATTTCGCACACATGACCGCAGGAATAATAACTGTGAACGTGCAGTAACAAAAACAAATAGAGCAAAACACTTAATAGCAATTGTAATGCAAATAGTGGCAGCGCCACAGCTGGGAAATGCAAGTCATCACTGGGTCTGAGAAATGTGGTGAGATGGTATAGAATTCAGTGAATGAAATTTAGAGCAGTCACTGTTTCTCAGCGAAGAAAAACAAGAGATTAGGNTTCAGGGAATAACTTAACCTCAGATTTGAGGTTTTCACGGCGGTGACTATGAAGAAAGCAGTCTTCTGGGATTTGGCACCGTGTATATGTGGTGTTAACCGACGTTTCGGAGGAACGTATCGCCTCCATCTTCATGGTAGAAGAAAAAATATAAGAAATCCGCAATCGAAGAGACCGTGAGAACCGGTAAAACAGACTAGAAGCAACAAGAGTAAATGGAATGATGACATTAATATTTATATTTAATACATGGGCTGGATTCGTCTAGCTCAGAATAGGATCCAATGAAGGACCTTTGTGAAGACACTGATAAATTCACCCATCCGTACCCTGTAGTCCGCAAGCGAACTATACCGACAGAGCGATCTCAGCTTGTCGGCGAAGTTAGTGCCGACTTTAGCGGATAGGGAGTCGCGTGGTCAGCGCAACGGATCCCCAAGGCCGTTAATCTCGGTTTTCTAGACCGGAGCCGCCATTTCCTTGAAATAGCTCCTCAATTATCCTCATGAGGCTGAGTGGACCCCGTTCCAGACCCACTAATTCTCAGAAAATCTGGTAGCGCCGATAATCGAACCCGGGACCTCTGGATCTGTAGCCAGGAACTCTGACCACTAGATTCACCCATCAATCACAAAGTTAATAGAAAGTCCGTCGAGTGTAACAATTTGTAGGTCACTTTTTATTATTATTTCTGCCTTACGTGTTTCGGTTTGACACAACCATCATCAGAGGCACTTGCCTCTGAAACAATTCAAATTTCACCCATAAATCATGATTATTGTTATTATCATAATCTTCTTTTCAGGTTTACGTCATTTGACTATTCCTTCTATATTTAATAACACGTGTCGGTCG